TCTCCTGCCTCCATGCAGCTCATCTCATTTGCTGCCTCACGGTGTAGGTTGTATGCATTTAGAGCGCTATTTGGCACGTCGGCTTTAATTTGGCCAGACAAGACCTCAGGAAGCTAAAGCCAGGCTTTCTGGTCCTTGAGTCTGGTCTAACCCTTTAGCTTTTCTGATCACAGAGAGCCAAACAACAGTTATCTTGCCAAGTTCTTCCGAGCCACCTGAGACCAGTAAAACAACGTACCTCATATAAAAGGCCATTTTCCTGGAAGCAGAGACTTCATGGCATGATGAGCTTTTGGATCTAGTGAATGTGCCACCCTTCCATTTGGTTTTATAAGCATAAAGCGGTGCTTTGATTGCAGCCACAATTCTTGCCAGAGGCAGTGACCACCAGGTCCTACCTAAATAATCCTTCCTACACTTCTCCTAACATGCTGCTGACCATTCAGTCAGACTCTTTGCTAGAAGCTCCGTGGGACAGAGCTTTTATAGCCCAACTCAGACTTGCCCCTTGAAGACGCCTGCAAAACTGCTCCATTGCTTTATTAAATGAGGGCAACTGAAACCCTTTGAGCATCCATTCAGCTTTTAGTCTGTACACACCAATACTAAATGTGATCGTGAAACAGCAAGACTCATTCCCTTTAGAACAGGGTATCTTTGGAGCCTGCTTCAGACTGTTCCCTTGAAGACAACAGCTCCATGGTTTGCTCTGCACACTTTTTTTCTACAGAGGCATGAGCCTCAGGTTAGCCATACTACAACATTTATTTAAACATGCTACAAATGCCAGAACTCCTTATGTTCTACGTTAAGTCTGTTTGGATTCGCTTCTTCTCGATGGTGCACCCCTCTTAGCATTCTCACGTCTTACTTGTTTGCACTTCATACTGCGAAATACTGCCTCCCGCATATACAAAAATAGACATAATCCATAAGCTTTCAGAGGCTTATTAGCCTTTGTGCATGAGCATATATTATAGAGGATATGTTATGTTGGTACATTATTATAGACATGTCTTTGAGCTTTTAGCCTCAAACACTGGGAATCCCGAAAGAAAATGTGCTTTCAAAATCACTATTCTGAAATGGGAAGTGTATCTAGATACATTACAGGGATCATAAAATCAGAGAAGCAGGGCTTGAAGGGACCTCAGGAAGTCATCTAATACAACCCCCCTGCTCAAGGTAGGCTCATCCCTGTCTAAACCCCACCAGGCAGGGAACAGCCCTCATGGACAACTGCCAGGCATAATGCCCAAAACATCAAAAACTCTTTATCAGGCCAAGCAGGGGGATGAGGGCACTGTCAAGGTCCTGCCACTAAGGATTACTTTCAGAATTGGTGTGTATTTGGTTGTTGCTGTCTTGAATTTTGTAAAACACTGAGCTAGGAAGGCAGAAGGGCAGTACAAGCACCTGAAGGGGTCACATATTCAAAGCTATTGCAATTTGCACCTGATTTCCATCTGAAATGGAAGGAGGAGGAATTATTACCGAGGGAGCTGTTCTAAGCTTTTTGTTTGTTGGCTTTTAGTTCTAAAACTTTGGGAAAACTGTTTTTTTTTTAAACAGTCCACACAAATACAAAACATGTAGGAACCACACAACAAAGGAAAGAGAGCAGTGAACTCTTGATGATTAAAGGCACGTCCTGATGAGCTTGCACATGCAGGGGCATGCATTTCCCGCAGGACAAATAGCAACGCTGCTATTTGTCCCCAGACGCCCCTGCACACATGCTCCGGCACGTGGCAAAGTGACCTAGGTAGGGGAGGGGAAGCTGGGGCCAGCACCTGTGCTGTGCCCCAGCTGTCCTACCTGGGGGACTCCTGGGGCAGCAGTGGTGCTGAGCCAGCTGCTTGGAAGTTGGCCAGCAACCAGAAAGTGGCTCTGGCCAGCCAGGCTCCCCTTCTGGTAGAACATGCTGCCGCCATGTGTGCCATACTGCTTTTTTCAGTGGTGGGGTTTTCTGACACCAGGATCTCCCAGTGCTAAAAACCGCACTGCGCTGCATATTAGCAGTGCGGCGAATGGGTGCAGGTGCGGTTTGTGGTACCTTGAACTGGTCTGAGGTGCCACAAACTGCATGTGTACACTCATCAGGCTGCGCCCTATCAAGTTAAAACAGGTCTCCACAAAAAGCTGCAGAACAGGTATTGATTGCATCAGACCAATGGTCCATCTTGTCCAGCACCAAATAATTCAAACACAGGTCCAAGAAACTTCATGCAATAGAATGACCTGCCCATAAGCAAAGCACCCTCCTCTGAGTTTATTCCCTGAAGCATTGAACCCTCCTAAAACACTTCAGTGCCACAAGACTGTTCATTTACATTCCTAAAAATACCAAATTGGTCTTTACCTTTTATCAACTTCAAGGTCTCCATAAAAACTAGTCCCAATTGCACAGATTAATTTTGCATCTCGTTTAAAAAAGTATTTCCTTTAATCAGCACTGAATCCGTCATTTGATGTCTTTGGCTGTGCCCTTGTTCTTGCATTGAACCAAAGCAACCACAATTTACCTTACATACAATCTTTTTAAAGAACTCCTGCTCTTTCTTATTACCTTCCTCCCAACATAGTCCCATTGCTCCTGACGTGTCTCCTGGATGTCCCATAACATTTCTAACCATTTTCATTTCTTGCATCTGAACCTCTTCTCCTTCTGAACCCCCAGCCCACGAGACTTGACAAAAATGGCACAAAGTATTCAAAGTGCATGCTACATGTTGTAACATTCTCCTTCCTGTGTCTTAGTCTGTAACAAGGGTGGCCAGCCTGCAGCACATGCCACCATGTCATGACTGGAAGGGGACAGGCAGTACAGCTGCAAGAAGGAGCAGAAAGCAGAGCAGTGGAGTGGAGTGGGCAGGGGAAAGGGTTTGGAGTGGCATTTGGGGAGGGTGTGGGACTAACTTGTGGCACGCCTGTCAGAAAGGTTGATTCCCACTGGTCTACAACATTGCTTTCTGACCACTACAACAGCTTAGTGATGTACCCTCCCTCCTCTCCCCAAGTGGGTACAGTTCATGCAGAGTCCAGCAGTGCAGATATGGTTCCAAGAAGCCATTTCCATGTGCATTACCTGGTTATTACTGAACGTTATCTTCCAATGCCAATTAGCTCTTTTTATACAACTGGCAGGCCAATGTTCAGCCCTTTTTTTCAAAGCCATTTCTATGTATTACCAGTCCTAGAAAAGAACCTTTTGCTACATTAAAAAAAAAAAGATAACATATTCCTCCCCCCGCCCCACACACACAAAAAATACGTTAATTTTTAATGTTGTTTCTAGGTTTTGTGTAAGAAAAGTGATGCATTACATTTGTTTGTCTTCTGCAACAACACATACACTGTCAAGGCTCAAGGGGTTCCAACAATAGTCAGGCCATCAGGAAATAAGTCCATTAAAAGCACAGCCACTCACTGGCTGACTTTCAGCGTGCTGGGATTTCCCACTGCCTCGAAAAAGAACGCGCTCTGGCATCCGGCATCCACAGCCTGCTTTTAAGACAGGAGCACAGATGAAGAGTAAGAACAGTAAATTAATCTGGGATGTATTTCCTCCTTGCCCAGACTTTTTTTTTTTTTTTTTTTTT